AAGTTTTGATTTTCTCTTCACCTCAAACCCTTGAGGTTGAGACATGTAAATCAATTCATCTAACTCCCCATGAAGAAACGCCGTCTTAACATTTAGTTGCTCTAACTCCCAATCATACTGAACAACTAAGGCTTGACTAACCTGATAGTTTTATACTTAATAATCGGTGAGAATACCTCATTATAGTCTATCCCTTCTCTTTGAGTAAATCCCTTAGCAACCAACCTAGTTTTGTATGTTAAAGGGTATTTAGGTCCTACTCCTTTTTTTAACTTGTAGATCCATTTACAATGGACTACCTTTTGATTCTTTAGTTTTTCAACCAACTTCCAAGTCTCATTTTTGTTTAGAGACTAGATCTCTTCTCTCATTGCCTTTTTCCAACTTTCAAAATTTTCACAGTTAATCGCTTTCTCAAATGAAGTTGGTTTAACTGACTCCAAGGCTTCACCTGAAACGAGGACAAATTCCATCAAATTTGAAGAGATGTATATCAAATTGGGCTTCACTTCTCTTCTCTCTCTATCCCTCACTAATTGGTAATCATCCAAATTAGCACCTGCAGATATTTCTTGATTAGGGACAAAAGTTTTAGGAATTTCAAGTTCAGGTTGTTCTATTACTGCTTTTTAATCAGATTCTTCTTGAGGTTGGATTTCACTATCCTTTAGATTATCACCTAATCTCTTCACCTCAAATTCCATCTTCTTTCCAGTAGAAGATTCTCATTCCTTAGTCCGTTTGTTCTGACTTACTATGTTTTTAAGACAAGGCATATCAAGTTCATTGAACTTCACATCTCTACTGTTAATAATCTTAATGCTCTTTACACCTAAAATCCATAGTCTATATCCTTTTACTCCCACTAGATAACCTAACATGACATACTTAGTAACCCTAGGGTCCAATTTGTTCTCAACCTGATGTGCATAAGCCGCACAACCAAACACTCTAATATCCAGACCACAACTCTTAAGGAGTCTTGAAGTTAACAGAATTAGAAGGTGACCTATTTATTAAATAGGCAGCAGTGCACACGACTTTGCCCCAGAAACCTTTAGACAACCTAAAATTAATCATCATACATGACTTTGTCCATTAAAGCCCGATTCATTTTCTCCGCTACCCCACTTTGTTGAGGGGTATGTCTTACAATCCTGTGCCTCATTATACCCTTTCCCTTGCAGAAATTATCAAATTCGAAGTTGCAAAACTCTCAACCATTATCCGTCCTAAGAGTTTTCACACCCTTTCCCATTTGATTTTCAACTAAGGCAAGCCAAGACTTAAACTTATTAAAAGTTTTAGATTTGAATTTAAGGAAATATACCTAAACTTTCCTCGAGTGATCATCAACAATGGATAGAAAAAATATATTTCTTCCATGTGTGGGGTGTTTTTCAGGACCCCGCAAATCTGCATGAATATAGTCCAATGGTCTCTTAGTGCTGTGTTCACCTGTCCCAAAGCTAACCTTGTGAACACACGTCTCGCAAAAACTTAAAGGTGTAACACTATCCTTACCAAGTAAATTCTGGTCATTAAGGTATTTCAATCCTTTATTCCCAATGTGTCCCATCCTCTTATGACAAAGATCTTATTTATCTTCACAAACTAAAGATAATGTCGACTCTTTGCTGTCCAATGTTTTACCTTGAAGGACATATAACCCATTCTTCTTAGGACCTTTTATAACCACTAGAGATCCTTTACAAATCTTTAAAGTACCAGCATGAGATTTGAACTCATGACCTTCTTCTTTCAGAGTGCCTAAGGAAATGTGATTCCTTGCCAGGCCCGGGACATACCTAACACCTCTAAGGGGTCTGATAATGCCATCATGCATTCTAATAGCAATATCACCTACTTCTTCTACATTGTGTGTACGATCATCCCTTAAGTATACTTTTCTAGGATTCACATCTCTATAGTTATAGAACCAAGATTTAACAGGACACATATGAAAAGTAGCACCTGAGTCTAATACCCGCTCAGTGTCAAAATCAATATTAGAAACATTCATGACATGTATGTTATTACGAACACCATTTTCCTCAGTGTCAAAATCTCCTGACACGGTTATAACGTGTAGGCAATCAAGGGAATCACTTATAGCAACTAAGTTCTGATCATCATTGTGCTGTGGTCTTTGTTTCTTTTTTAAGGTCATTACAGTCTTTCTTGAAATGTCCTAACTTGCCACAATGGAAGCATTTCTTACCACTCTTATCTCTAGACTTAGACCTACCCTTCTTACTTTGAAAATGGTTCTCCCTCGTCTCATTCCTCCATCCAGCAAAGAAACTCTCTTCTCTCGAGCTACCCCTCGACTCTTTCTTAAGCTCTAGCTCCCTGGCCCTCAAAGCATCAGTCACAATAGCTTGGGTTAAAGTATTCCTAGCATACGTGATAGCATTCCTAACATCTCTATAAGATTTGGGCGTAGCATTTAAAAGTATAACCGCTAGATACTCATCATCAAATTTCTTGCCGTTGTGGGCCAAACACTTGACGAGTCTGTTAAAGTCACTCAAATTTGATTCAAGATCCTTCTCTGGGTCCAGCTTAAAACTAATTAGTTTTTGAAGTAAATGTATTTTGTTTGGAAGAGATTTTTTCAAAAAAAGCTTGCCTAGTGCTTCCCACAACTCTTTGGCAGTCTTATATCGTTCAACTTGTCCTAACACATTATCAGATAAATGCAATATAATCAAACTATGTGCGATTTCATTCATCTTAGTAATTTCATCCGATTTAGCTTTTAATGCATCGGGATATTTTTCCAGGTCGTCAAGAGCTTTAGAAATTTTTTGTTGAATTAAAATAACTTTCATTTTTTGCTTCCAAATGGAATAATCTCCCTTACCATTGAATTGTGCCAATTCAACTCGAGAGGACATATTAGCAAAATAATATTTTCGAAAAAAGTTTTACTTAGCCAATTTACCCACATACAAATGCAAGCTCAAACCAATTTACGTATAAATTACTTTCTAAGATGACATAAATGATGATATTATAACAAGTAACACATAACCAATATCACAAGAGTCAAGTAACAATATGGCAGCAAATAACACAACATTTCAATTGTAAATTGGAGAGGGTGTTAGAGTGCGCTAACCAAGCGAACCAGTCTATTAGTTCGTATAAGGAGAGATGCGAGTTATTATCAATCTAAAGCCTCCAATAATTGCCCTAAGCCATCCAAAAGCTGCTGAAACACCAGGAAAAAACCACCGAGCCGCCAATGGAAAACTTTCTCCATTTCCACTTTTCTGCCGAGACTGTACCTGCTTCCACAATGTACCAAACTGAAATCCAATACCACTAGAAGGTCAGAAGTTCATCAAGTAACAATCTGTCTTTTTTGACCTCCGGCTAAATCCTCCCCATGCGCCCTCACGCGCCGTTACTGTCTTCTGCGCGTGGTTTCACGCGTCGCATCCACCGTCGATGCATGTGTCACACGCGTTGCACTGGTATATACTGCTTGATGTCTAGAGTGTAATGGTGGTCTCCATTCGTCCACCAGGTGTGTAGTTTTTCCAGAAAATGGGTTCAAAGTTTCTGCTGAACTTTTTTTCAAACAAAATCGGACCCCTTCGACTTCCAATCCGATTTTCAGGTTGTTTTAACACTTTTTACCACTAGCCTAAGCTTTGATACCATTTGTAGAGTTTAAAGTATTGTATATAAAAGATTATTACAACTACAATGCAGAATAATAAACTCTCAAAGTGTAAAACCGAACCAAAATGACCCAAAGCTTCTTCAACAGCACCAATGAAGTGTTCTTGATGTTGAGCTCAAATTTGTGCCACACCGGATCATGTACCATCGTCCACGGGAATGACAATGGATATACCGAGAAAAAATCTGTCTGAAGCCACCAAGAATTTCATCGGAGTTATGGAAAGCTCCCACTTGGTTACATCTCTATACTTTCTCTCAAATGTTATGCCAAATCCAAGAAGGAGAGAATGAAGAGATCTTGTAATTATAGAGCCAATTCATTTGAATTCAAAATTCAAATATTGTACTATGATCATCAAGAGAGTGACAACACTAGTATAGGTAATTGACCACAAAATTAAATCCAACCATTGGATTTAATCTATGGTCCATATTACTCCATAACTAGCACAATCCAAGTCACATTCTCTAAACCAATAGACTTACACCAATCTTAGGATGTGATCCACCTTACGCTTTCATTTTTCTTCTATTTGAGAATTAATGGAATTATTGTCTGAAAAAAGGGAATTTTCACTTCTACCATTTCGAGCTGAATAAAAAAGTTCCGTTTTCTTTCTAGTAAGGCATCAGTTTTCTTTTTTCTGCTTCTCTGTAAATTAACAAAACCATAGCAGGCTTTCACGCTGGTGATATGCATGCCCAATGCCTACAAATACAACTCGAAAGATGAAAAACCCGAGACTACCCGATACATGCACAACGAAACAAGGGAAAAAAAGCACATATAACTGCAGGAACTTCATACTCAAACTCAGAACTTCAAAACAAACTTAAATAACTTTCCCCTGTGCGTTTCTATACCTTTGACATCTCAAAAATCTGAAAAGGGGATGCACAAGATGCTTACTGGCGAAAGATTTCCTAAACATGTATAATTAGATAAGCAAATAACAGAAATTGGTAAAAGATTTCCCCTATTAATTGCTTTAGTTTTTATATAAGCGCATCGCCTCTTATGGCTGTCAAGTTTGAACTCAAGAGATCAATTAAAAGCATTGAACCACGTGGCAACATTCTAAATAACTGATGACCTGCACAGTCGAATTACAATATCATGACATTAATGAGATAGCAGATATTTGCACATCATCGGCATAATTATACACTTCACAAAACATCGATAGTACTATTAAGCACATGTTTGGTAGGATGGATTGTACTGAGCGGTATTAAAAAAGGCAGGAAAAAAACTAAATTCTTACATATTGTGTTGTTCAATACTCTATACCAAACATGTAGTTAGAGTTCATTGAAAGAATATAAGCATATAACAATCCCTTATTAGAAGATGCATTCATGGAAACAAAATAGAAATTCTATATGTTCAATAATCAAACTACTTTTCGATGAAAAGCATCATTTCAAATTCATAGCTGTAGCCATATTTCTCAACTTCTGTGAGATTTTCTGAAAATGGAGGTCTCTGAGCTGGATCATGTGCCCAACAACTTTCCATCAATGACTTCCATTCGGGATCTCACCATGTTGGAGTTTGGGGCGTAATATGTTGTTCACTATCCCTCCTACATGCATAAACGCAACACTGATTACTAGGAGAAGAAATTTTATCAAGTAATTTCAATGGATTTCTAGAGTTTTTACTAAATAAACAACAGCACTGTAGCCAATTTATTTGATGGAGAATAGATGTCATGACACAATAAAGCCAAAAAAGATATTTTACTTAAGGTAACTCGGTGTGAATCTTGCAACAACTAAATAAGTAATCCACCTGACTCTTTGCAGTTGGCTTTCATAAACACATAAGTTCCATGCTCTCTCTTTCTCTCTCTCTCCCTCACACACACACACACACACTCTCCTCCCTCCCCGCCCCCATGGAGGGGGAGAGACGGGGTGAAAAAGTGAAGGAGAGAGAACTTTGTGCTGCTTACTTCCAGGAAAAATGTTGTTTCGTATACATCTGATAATTCCTCTTCGGATTTGACACGTGCTATTCATGTGAAAATTATTATACTAGTTGTGGACATGCATCCTCACGGTCAGGCAATTCCTTTCTCATTGCTCTTTTAATTTACTACATCTATAGTTACCAAAAAAAATGCGTAGCACTAAAATTAACATTTAGAACAAAATTTACATCCACGGCATCAAACAGATAAGCAAAATCCATGAAGAAAAAATAGCAATTTCGGCCATATAGACAATCAACCAAACCAAGAATTAAAAGACAGCATTTTCTTTGACCAAAGACACAACAATTTAAGGCTGAGTATTTCCTATAAATAGACTGGTCTTCTACTACACTACATAGGATTCTTTCCTCAACATTGCCTAATAAAACTTATCTACCTATAAACGAAAGGTAAGTTCTCCAAGCAAATGCAAGCAAATAAAAGTAACTCAAATGCATAAGCCTCCAACCAACATGACCAAGCAAGACCAATGTCATGACTCAAAGATAAAAATCTTATTGACGGTTAAAAGGCTGACCAAGTCGTCTTTTTCTTTTTTGCCTCGATTTCATTCAATATGTTTAAAAGAAGTGAAGAAAACAGAAAAGCATCAATTTTTAGAAGTCTGCTCCAAACATACTCCTCTTTACTTTTTTCCCGTGGATAATCATTATGCATAAAAAAGGTTTAGAAACAGAAGTTGAACATTTTCCAAGATAAAGTCGGAATAGCTTAATTATAAACAACGTACCAATTATAGAAGCACAATGTATATTTAGATATGGTTCGTTGCCAGTAAGCAATTCCCACATGACAATTCCAAATGAATAAACGTCGATCTGTGGGTGTAGAAACTAGGCATTAATTAAATAATTAAGAGAGAAAAGTAGAGAGAGATGTTAATGGCTAATTAAATTAGTGATTATGTAAAAAAATATCTAACCTTTTCTATTACCATGTTACTTTTTTCACTCAAGAGCTCAGGTGCCATCCAAGGTAGGGTCCTACGAACACCTCCCGACACTAAAGTTTGTTGTTTTACCTTTGATAAGCTGAGATCGCCAATCTAATAAGGAACTCAAGAAAGATGGCAAATTAATTCAAGTAAAACACTAGATATGCTCAGGTATAAAAAAATTTCCTCGAAAAGTAAACAAAAATTTATGAATCAGATAATAAAAAGCAAGTACAAGTAAAGTTCGAATAATAACAGCTTCACCAACTATAGAAAATTGAAATCTGAAACTAAAGCCTCTGAAAATTTCAATGCGTACAAATGACAAAGTAGCAAATATAGAAAAAGGTATTGAATAGTGCATACAATAGATTGACTCCTAAAGTAACTCGAATATCCAGGTCAGTTTCTCAACCTACCTTGCAAACTGGTCGATGCGGATCCTGTATATTTACCAACAGATTTTCACATTTTAGATCAAAATACATAATATTCTTGCCATGCAAGTACAGTTGAAATTGTTGTTCAAGCAATCGATAAAAACTAAGTGGCGTGGAATTGAAAAACCAAACCGGGGCCAAAAGTTTGGCCCATGCGAATGGCCATGCGAAGAGGGACTGAAGTCCTGATTTTAGAGAATTCCATGCGACCGCATGGAGTTGAACTATGCGACCGCATAGAACACTAAATTGATCGTTGGAGGCCTTTTTCAGTTGGCTTTTTGGCGGTTTTTGGAGGGTTTCTTGCAACTCTTCATCATATTTTGGCACCTATTCATGAAGTATTGATTCATATCTATAAATAGGTGATGGAGGGATCAATTCATGGTGTTGAAATCATATTACTAACATGAGAAACATATACTTCATTCCACAAAAAGTGATCAATCTTTCATTCTTCCATATTCTAGCAATTCCCTCTTGTGTTCTTCAAATTGAAAAAAATTATGCTTAAAGGTCCGTTTGATTGCAAAGATGAAATTTGGGTAGAAAGAAAACGAATTCCAAGGAATTGAATTGTTTGGAAATTGTTTTCCTGATAATTGTAAATTATTATATTTGATTGGTATAATTTTCACGTGAAAAATGTTGAAATAAAAGCGTTTTTTATATTTTGATTGGTATAATTTTCACGTGAAAAATGTTGAAATAAAAGCGTTTTTTATATTCGTTTGACTTTGTTTGACATGAAAATTGTTAATTAAAGGGATATACTTGACTAATATTGAAGATGAAATTTGTTTCCATTGCCTAAAAATAAAAAATTCAAATGAAATTATCTATCTTTTGATGTTCGTTTGGCTTTGTTTTACATGAAAATTGTCAATTAAAGAGAATTTTTTACGATAATTCTTAGAATTTTTTTCCATTGCCAAAAAATAAATAATAAAATAAAAATAAACGAAAAAAATTACTACAATAAACTGAAAAATAAATTCTTGCCATTTTGGTGAGAATTCATTTTCCTCCAAAACACGGAAAAAGTATATGTGGAAAGAAAATGTGGAAAATGAATTCCAAGAAAATTTTTGCCAATCAAACACTCGAAAAATGGAAAGTTGGAATTCCAATTCTATTTTCCCTAGAATTCCATCAAACACGCCCTTAGTGTTTTTCTGTAACAAGGCCTGATCAATCCTACAAATCATTTGCCGTAAAACCCTTGAAGCATCTCGTATGATCCGGAGAGGGGGCAAATATCATTCGAGGACAGTGAGATTATTTACTTGTTTGAGCCTTCATATTGGTTTGATCTTCTTGTTCTTTGTTCATCTTCTTAGATATCCCTTTTTTGGTTTCTGCTCCAAACCCCGGCGTCTATAATTTTCCCAACAAATACTCCATCCCAAATGCAGCATCTATAGCTATAATAAGTCACTTGCCCCGATCGATTGTTCTGCTCAAAGATAATAGTCTAAGGAGCTGTGATTCACATACAGGCAGAGGCTCACAGGCCTCTGTTAGAATACACACAAGGACGGGGCCCGCACAATTTTTATTTTATTTTAATGCAGGTCGATGAGATCGACCTGCCATCTACAGTGAGAGATCTATAAAACCTCTGTATGATAATTGCCCTGTACTCAGGGCATTGCTTTAGTCTAAGTCCCATGCTAACGTTATTTGTCAATGCAGGGAATAAAATCTAGATCAAAAAAGGAAAGATACCTATCCTTTTTCTGTAGAAATTGTTTCAAAGATCCATTGACCATGAACGCTGTCACTATTGCTAAAGATCCATTAGGGCCATCACGAACTACTCCATAGACAGAAACAACATTGGATGTGCAACGAACTCAATATCAGAGCCTCCTTCTAGAAATCTGTAATCTTTAAAATAAAAAAGATGAGAATTAAAACTCAATATAAATAGAGAATAAATCCAAACGCAGTCATTAAATCAACTCCAAACAAAAGAAAAGGAAAAGCATTCATGACAACCAAATTAGAATAGATTGAAATTGAAAAGGAAACGTGTTCACGAAATATCTTCTTTCAATTTAAATCACCGCAAGTGTATGATTCGTTAACAAGTAATAAAGTGGATTTCTAGAGTCCGAATATCGCCCCGCAGAGATTGAGTAGTTCAATTGTATTTATCTCGACCTTAACCGAATCTAAATGATCAATTATGAATTTTTATCCTAAGAAATCCTAAATCTAAGCTAAAGCATCAATATTATGAATTGGATGGTATGATATGCAAAACAACGTTTAATTTAACTAAAATGCAGTTTGATATTTGGGACTCAGGTTAAATGTATTCAATAAATGTGAGATATACTAGGATCACGAATTCCTAAGTAATGTTCAGTTTAACCTTAATTCCACACTTTGCCTACACGATGAAATTTTGAAGAATCAGTACTCCTAAATCTATCCAACACTGTTTCTCGAGATGAATTGTACATATTCTCATACACCACCAGCCTATATCTTTATGACGGATGCAAATATACGAGAATGCATGTAGTTTTGGAGTACTTAGAGATTCGCGCAAAGCATAGTGGTATATTTCTATCCCCTATCGGAATCTACGATGATTTATACCTTGTCGAATTTATTCATCTTCTTTCAAATAAATGAAACAAGAGAACACCACATAAATCCTCGATTTAAAAATCACATTTCAAAACTAACAAATTTCTAAACATTTTTCAAAAATCAGGTGATAGTTAAATTTATTAAATATTTAATTTAATATAGTTTAATTAATCTACTTATCCTACCCCAACCACTCATCATATCAAACCCCTCTCTCTCTCTCCACCCCACCTCACCTTCAGCGACGGCTCCAGCCACTTTTTCGACGACAGCTCCGACGGCATTTCCAACGACGACTCTGGTGACTTCTTCGGCGACGGCTATGACAACAATTCCGGCTACCTATCCAATTCCGACGACCTCTCCGACCATTCCAACGACTATTCCAGTGACCGCTCACCTTTCATCCGACTATTTTTTTTCTTTTTTGGCAATGACCTGTGACCAATTCCATTAGATCTGTAACTTGTGCACATTATGATCTGTGACAAGTTCTATTGAATATGTAACCTATTCAGATGGGATGAATATGTAAATGATCAAATACTATTAAAATTTTAATTATGAAATAATTAATAAAAAAATATTTTTGTAATTAACAATATTAAATTCACAATTTTTTCTTTGACTGGGCAATAACTAGTGACTTGTGTACATTGTGACATATAAAATTTTATTTTTAATATGTGATTTGTTATCCGTGACTCATAACATAAATGTGACCTATAAATTTGATCCATGACTTCTACAAAATGACATGTGACTTGTTAACATTGATATGTGACCCATTTATAATGATTTGTGACTTATATGAAATGATTGTGACTTGTGAACTTAAACTTGTAACCAGTGAATTGTGACCTTAACGACGAACTGTGACCCGTAAAGTATGAACTGTAACCTTATTTATGATCAAATTTATCTTCAGTGTGATTGTCTGTGACCATGTTAGTCTAATTTGTAATTATATATAACCAAGTCATATGCGATCACAGTTAACACAAATCTGGTCACAGACAGTCACAATGAAGATAAACTTGGTCACTCACCACTATTCCCAACACTAACAACCAAACGTGCATTACCTCACCAAAACCACGTGTACTACCAATAACGGAAGCATTGACACAGCACCGCACCACACCGCACCCACCATACCATACCATACCACCACCAATACAACATAATGGCATCGCCATCGACGTCAGAACCATGACCAAGACCACTGATAAGTGTGTTTTTGCACTCTTATTTAGGTCACAAACATGACTTAATTACGAATAAAATGATTGAATTGTGACTTAATTTCATTACATTTGTGAATTGTAGGTAACACCGATGAACATGGTGAAATACATGAGAAAAGACCAAGGTGCAATTACTCAAAAGTTGACCCGATGAACAAATCAAGAAATTGAGTTTGCTAAATACGAATTTATGACATTTTGGGATGATGGAATATGAAGAATGAAGAAAAGATGCAAAGAAGTGGAAGATTAAAGTAAAATGACCAAATTGTAGGAACTGAAAGATTAATTCTACCATGCGGTTGCATGGTAGAAACGTCGTGCGGCCGCACGATGTGATGTAGGGATTTATAATGAAAAAAGAGGATAACCATGGAGCCGCACGGATTAAAACCATGCGGTCGCATGGTACAAATTCAGCACGAAAATTTTCTTTCCTCATACGATTGAAATACCTATGGTAACCTAATTTTCCACGGGATATAAATATCAAAAAATTCCAGAGACGCCCAGAACGTAATTGGAGGCCGAAAAACAACTCTTGGAGAGGATTTGAGCGCAAGAACAAAGATTGACACGAAGAACTTCAAGATTTTTTATAACCCAGTGATGTCTTATATACAAACTTTGATGTATTTTGTTATTTTAAGCATGCTAGACTAGATTTTTATTATGCTAGGAGATCGATGAACCATGTGATTTGAATTTTAATATTCTAGTTTTGCAATTTGATGTTAAGACACAATTTCTATTATGTTGAATGATTTATATGCAATTAATGTTTCCGCAATTAAGGGCTCGTAATTGTGTGAATTTAAGTGATTTATTCTTGCATTCGAGAGAATTGGAATAGATTTGGCATAGTATAAATCATCGTAGGGTCCGATAGTGGATAGAAATATACCGCTATACTCTATGTGAATCTTTAAATGTTCATAAAATTGCATGCGTGTTTACATATGCTCTTGTCATAGAAATATAGACCGGTGGTATGTAGAGATAGGTTTGATACATCTCGAGAGAGGGTATTGGATAGACTTAGGAACATTGATTCGTCAAAATCGAAATGTGTTGTCATATTGTGAAACTAGGGTTTGAAGTGATAATTGCATGGGAATTCGTGATCCTAGCGTATTTCATTCCCAATAATTATAACAAGTGCATTCTCAACTTTTAGATTTCATTCTCGAGTTAAATT